GTCCATTGGTCCTTTGTGCTGCTTTTTTTTGAGTGTTGTCCCAATGCTGCAACAAGGGAGTTTCCAAAAGAAGGTGCTTGCTTCTAACCCCCAAGGCCGTCAGTATGTCTGCTTGCCTTTAATGAGCCCACTTGACACGTTTTATTGTCCTTGGGTCTGGCTCCCAGCCCCTCTCCAACAGTTGAGGCTGTCTGGAGGTGCCGCCTTCCATGCCTTGCTCATCCACACCTCATTCATTCAACAGGGCAATTGATTAAGAGTGGGGGGGGGGAGAGAGCTCTTGTTCTACTGCTAGCAAAAAGAAATTTTTCTTCTATCTTATTCTATCCTGAGGGGCTATAATATTATACCAAGGGCAATGCAAAGTTTCTAAATGAGGTTTTGATACAAAGTCCCATGAAAACAGAGGTCACACATGGGTAGACCCACCACAAGGTTATATGAAGAGGCACAATGTAAAGTCATATGAAAATTATCACAGATTTATCTACAATAGTTGAACTGTTCGTATAAAAAGGATGAGAGCCGATTCATCCATAGTGATATAAATAAAAACAGATGATAGATGAAATCTAATGGAAACCAGCCATATCTGTATTACAACAGCAGCATTCTATAACAGGCTATACAGTGCACTGGGGATATGTTGGGGTGGGGAGTAAGAACTTTTTACTTGTTATATTATCCACCTGAGGGGCCCAGTCACATTAATATAATAGAGTCAATGAAACTTACAAAGACAAAAACATTAAGGGTTTTCTGTAAGGGCTACAATACTCAAAGAAAATGAATTTCCTCATTCATGACAACCTCTGCATGCATACAGAATCTCATTTAAAAATCACACTTTTTACTGGCAGTAGTAATTTTGTTTTCTCATTAGGTTCTTACTATAACAATAACAACAACAATAATAAATTAATTACAAAATCTTTGATCTGTGTAATAACGTTTTAATAGCTATTCAATTTATACTATTTACAATAATTCCTTTCTGTTACATATAACTGAGCCAGGCATGACAAGAAATATACCTAAATGTACCTGATAGAAAAAATAGTGATTGTAAAATAAACAATACTATTATTTTTATTCTTGGCCTAGGCCACTAGAAATTGCATAGAAATACATAGAAATTGCCATAAGAATCAGTAGGTTCACCTACTCCAGAAGCCAGGCTCTGGCACTGGCCATAGAAGATGCGTCAGGGTTAGTTATAATTAATGCCACAGTAGGCAGATGTAGGATAATATGCCCCCACATTATGGGTCTTATAGTTAGAGATTGTCTTAAACATTGAAGAATGAAATTTAATATCCTTTCCAAAATGTTTGGTATCATTGATTATGAAAACTGGATATTCTTGATATCTATAGAAATGTACAATCCCTTTTTGAATCTTGCTAAGTTTTTAGCCTCAATTACTTCCCGTGGCAATTAATTCCACAGTTCAATTACATGTTGTATGAAGTATTGAATTTTCCACCTTTTAATATAATCAAATATCTTCTTGTTGTTGTGTTGTGAAATTGGGATGTTCCCAATCTACCTTCTCTGCCAGTGTTTCTCAAATGCGGCCACGGTGGCTGCATGCGACCACCAAGACCTTTTCTTGGAACCACAGCCTCCTGGGCTGTGGTGAGGGGGATGGGGCTGAAGGCAATGGCCCCTCTCACAGAGCTGCCAGCAGCCCTGCCCCCATCTGGAGACACGAACACTGGAGGAGCAGGCAGCTGGTGAATTCCCCACTTTTCTGGAAGTAGGGGAGACAGGCTCCGGCCACAGGGCTTCGGGCTCTGTCCACGCGGTGGCTGGCTCTGGTTCCAGGCTCCGGCCCCCACCATCATCCCCGGGCCCTGCTGCCTCCCTGCCCACCTCCCCATCCAGGGCTTAATTTGTCCCAGGGCTTTCCGGGGCTGAGTAAGTCTGCTGTGAAAAGTGATATTAACAAACATACAAATATCATGTTCCACAGCAGAAGACTTACCAGCTAGCAAGTCTTAGGGGGGG